GACCCATGTAATCAGGAATACTGGTTTTATCATCCAAAATAGTGATCAGATCAAACAACTTCATACAATTTTGCTCAAAGTGGGAAGCGTTGTGGCATTAATCGACCATTCCAAAACGAAATTTAAGCAATTAGTTGAAGAATAGTTGCTAAGCTAGCACTGAATTCACGAACTTGTAAATTAATGTAGATTCTATGATGATATGTATATTATTAGTTTGATAGAAACAAAATAAATGAAAAGCTATTTGCTTCTAAAACAAAATTGTAAGATGTGTATAAGAGACAGCAAGTAATACAGATGACTATTTGATATTAATTTACTTGATAAACTTTTAAATGCCTAGAGCTCTGAAATATACAATGTATTATTATTATTATTATTATTATTATTATTATTATTATTATTATTATGTAACAGCGATAGATGAGCAGTGGGAATTGGATTTCGTGGATTTAACAACACTACAACGCTACAATAAACAATATAGTTTTCTCATTACATTTACCGATGTATTATCGAAATATGCGTGGGCTATCCTTATTAAGAACAAATCATCCGATACAATGTTGGATGCTATGAAGAAACTTTTATCGGGCAAAAGAAAACCTTTAAAATTTCATACAGATAGAGGTTCAGAATTTACAAACAATAAGGTTCAAGCATATCTTAAATCACAAGACATACATTTTTTTATGACAAACAATGAAACAAAGGCTAGTGCTGTTGAGAGAGATTCAATAGAACATTAAAAACGAGGTTGTAGAGATATTTGACGCCTAAAGTTACCAATAAATATATCGATGCGCTTCCCAATGATGTAATTTCTATTATTTGAAGAGCGTTTGCTAATCTAAAAACTCTTAATATTGAATTTGTAAATTAATGTAAATTTTATGACGATATGTATATTATTAGTTTGCTACAAACAAAAATAAATGAAAATCTATTCTTGCTTATTGCTGAAACCAAATTGTATCACCATCATCCTCATCACCAACGTCATCATGGTCGTCTTCACCATTGTAACCAGTTTAAATTATGATTTTACCCCCTCTGAAATTATCATAATTTTCGGGTCGTGGTATATTTATAACTTATTATCAGTTTTTTCTTGCTGTTCTTGTTTTGTATCTGCTCCACTACCAGCATACAATATAAATTTAAATAATAAGTGAGAGGCATACAATTTATATATAATTTAAAAATTCATTAAATAAGAGTTTTTAGATTAGCAAACGCACTTCAAATAATAGAAATTACATCATTGGGAAGCGCATCGATATATTTATTGGTAACTTTAGACGTCAAATAACTCTACAACCTCGTTTTTAATGTTCTATTGAATCTCTCTCAACAGCACTAGCCTTTGTTTCATTGTTTGTCATAAAGAAATGTATGTCTTGTGATTTAAGATATGCTTGAACCTTTTTGTTTGTAAATTCTGAACCTCTATCTGTATGAAATTTTAAAGGTTTTCTTTTGCTCGATAAAAGTTTTTTCATAGCATCCAACATTGTATCGGATGATTTGTTCTTAATAAGGATATCCCACGCATATTTCGATAATACATCGGTAAATGTAATGAGAAATCTATATTGTTTATTGTAGCGTTGTAGTGTTGTTAAATCCACGAAATCCAATTCCCATTGCTCATCTATCGCTGTTACATAATAATAATAATAATAATGATAATAATAATAATAATAATAATAATACATTGTATATTTAAGAGCTCTAGGCATTTAAATGTTTATCAAGTAAATTAATATCAAATAGTCATACAATTTTGTTTTAGAAGCAAATAGCTTTTCATTTATTTTGTTTCTATCAAACTAATAATATACATATCATAATAGAATCTACATTAATTTACAAGTTCGTGAAGTCAGTGTTAGCTTAGCAAATATTCTTCAACTAATTGCTTAAATTTCGTTTGGTATGGTCGATTAATGCCATAACGCTTCCCACTTTGAGCAAAAATGTATGAAGTTGTTTGATCTGATCACTATTTTGGATGATAAAACCAGTATTCCTGATTACATGGGTCGGTATCTAGGCCAACAAGAACATCGGAATATGGGACCGTGTTAGTTTTCTCATTGTAATTTTCTTCTGACGCTGAACCGCATTCATCTGCGCATTGTATCTTTTTTTCCTCAACTTGTTTTCTCTTTCCGCCAATATCATTTTCATCACCATTTGTTTCGTCGGGATGTTTCCCATTGTCGTTTTTATCCGTTCCAATACCACATTCATCTGTACCATTGATCTCTTGTAGCATATCTTCAACTTTATTAGATCGTCGTAGCATTCGATACCATTGATTAATAGGAAGATTAATTCCCTTTCTACTAGGGAAAAATTTTCCACGGTCTTCTTTTCGGTAGTATTCACGGATACAAATATATGTCTGACCGTTCCAACGCTGTGCGACAACATGTCTTTCTTTCGATAAATGAATACGCTTGGTTGACATGACAGTTTCTTTATTCTCCATAATAGGCTTCAGCGTTGGTGTAAACGAAGCGCTAGCATTTGGCCCAATTTCAACTTTCCGTTTCTTGGTAGGCTGCATAACGCGTTGCAAAGTATTCTTCGCCTTCTCAGTGACCATGGAGTCGGTGTAGTCGGCTGTTGGTTTATAGAAATTCATTCTGGTAGTATTTTATAACAGTATTTCGAAGAGACTAGAGTTTAAAAAGTTATTAGTGGATGAAGTTGAGCAAAACGATACTTTTACCTAAATTTTACTCTATTTTAAAAAGCCTACACTACCATCAACAAACACACATTTATACCAGTATTATTACTATTATTATTATTTTTTATTACTACTATCTTTTATTTTCATTATTATAAATTTTATTACTACCATTATTTTATGTATATTATTTTTACTACTATTATTAAAAATATCCCCCCGTGTTTTTTTTGGTTTTTTTAAAAGAAAACTTTTAACATATCGTTCATTGTTTAATTTCACTCATGACATCATGTGCCCGCTTATTTATCGGCTTTTTCGTTACTCATCAGACGTGATCTTAATGCGCTTCGCTCATTGGTTGATTTCAATCAAGCGTCATACGTACCAGCACATGTTTCGATCTTTTCATTATACGTCATTATTCGTCAGACTTCAACGTGACTGGGCCTGTCAATAGAAAACCTCGCTACGCGTCATCAATTTGAAAAACCCGCTATGCGTCATCAGTCAACTTATCAGTCAACTAAGCATTTTTTAGAACACTCGAGAGATCATGTAAGTTATTATCACTATTATTTAACGTTGAGACATTCTCAACAACAACAGTTCTTTTCAGAACTA